ATTTATCGCTTTTTGCTAATATATTATGATTTAAATAATTTTAATTAGAATAAAAAATTTACAATATTTCAATCATATTTCATATATTTATTTATATATCATGTATCAACAATGTTACTGATATAAATTCAGCTGTCGCAAAAGATGATATTTTTCAACCTCGTTCTTTTTCTATTTTTTTTTTATTTACGAGATTATCTTTGTATTTTCTGTCTCGCATTGTTTGTATTACTGTTAAAATATTAAGATAAGTCGCTGCATTCGTTTTCGAATAAGAGTCCCTCGTGCCTTCCAACTTTATCTTAGCTTATGCACATCTGGGTCAGATAATATAATTCGTTTAATAATAAAATAAAAATAGAACGTGACGTACAAAAAATCGTCGCGAGTTATTTGCTGAAATTTCAGATTAAAATGGTTGGACTGAGCTGACAGGTACACGCTTAGGTTTGTATATAATAAATCACAGTTGCCAATATAAATAAAACGTGTTGGAGATACTTGCAATGCTTTTTTTTTCGTATGCAGTTATCAACGCAGTGAATTGCCAATAGGTATAGCTTTGTTTTTTGTATGATATTTGATTTTGTATGATATGATGCAACTGCAAAAATGTATCTTCAGTTAATACAATATATAAATGCTGTAATATCAAAAGTTTGTAGTATTACAAGAAGTTTAATTAACAAAATTATTTTTATTTATCAAAGTTTATTTTATCGGCCTTTGTATTGAAATTAATATTTATGACAAATTTTCTATGAATTTTTTTAATTACTTTACTTTGTGATAAATATTATTCCTACTTCTATTCTTATTACAAATAAATTATGTAAAAAATTAATTTCTTCTAAAGTTTATTCTTTTAAAATTTTTATAGCATAAAAGTTAGACATAATTTTAATACATCTAAAGATTTACTTTTTATACTCCATATAAATATAATGAGAAAACGTCACTTGTAATTTTTTGAAGAAAACGTTTTCGAAATTAAGAATATTAAATACAATTTAATATAAATATTATAGAATGTATGATATGATAATTATGCGTGCAGAGCAAGACATGTCAGCACAATATAGTCGAAATCACGAGTGAAAAGTATGAATATTAATTGCACAAACGTTCCATATTGATTTCATTAACTCGTTATAAGTTTTGCAGAATTTGTAAATAATCAAGCGCGATATTACTTCCAGACAACTCTCATTACCTAACTCTTTCGCGGCTCAATTCTAATTAATAATTTCCAA